CCCGCATGTGCCGCCGCACCTTCTTCCGGTTGCAAAAGCCACCCCGGACCCTACGCAGGAATGTAACGAACTGGTCTGAGGTGGCCTCCAGTCCAACCAGCGGCTTTTCGGGCTTGCTCGATGACGTGGGGTCAGCTCGCTCCGCACTGTCGTACGCTTGTTGGAACTGTGGACGGACGGTTCACGATGCCACACCCAACACGCCGAAAAGCCGACATCACGCGATGTTGAGACAGTGAAACGCACGTCCAAACAATGACAGAAACAACGGCGATGGTACGCACCTCCTGACTGCCTGCAGGGAAGTGCACCCGAACGTGTCGTGATATATTCACCACAACCGCCGGGCACTGGTGCCGCCCGTCGGTGGCACCGAGCGGGCAGCGCCAGCGGGCCTGGGTGCACTTGGGCGCTGGCGGAGGGCAATGGGCCTCGGCGGCTCGCGGGCATTTAGCCCGCAGTACCTCGCGTGCGGCAAGCTGAAACACAAACAGACTGCTGGAAAGATAAGGCCGACAGCACAGCTGTGGACATGTGTGACGCATCGGCGGCAGAGACACGCACAAGCGAGCGAAGGCAAGCAAGAAGCGCACACAGCATGCAATCCGTCGCCTACCCGCGGGTGCACCATCCTGATGTGCCGTTTCAGGATGGCGTACGTGGTGCCGTGGCACGGCGGTAGGCGGCACGGGTGCCTGTGGAGCTTCCCAGCGCCGCTGCGTGGCCGGCCCTGCCGCGGCTTACACGCTGCAACACAGAATGATCCGTTTGACACGGGTAAGCACACGGATATGCCAGCTGCGGCAGAAGCACATTTACATCCATTCTGCCGCCACACACAGAGAGGAGAGCTGGACACGCACCGGGCCGGTCAACCTCTTCCGAGGCCTCCTTCTCTGCTGGCGCCGGTTAAGTCGATGCCGACGAGGGGGACGAGGACGGCGCCCAGTCGGGGTCGGCGTCCGCCGCCGGTGGCGTCTGGCTGTCGGCCAGAGCTCCCTCTGTTGGCAGAATTAAGGGCTGAGTAGTCTCGTACAAAAACGGAAAATAAACATGACAATAACAACTGCATCTCAAGTTCTACGATAGACGGCTAGGACAATTAAAACATGCATACACAACGACAATAACAACTACATGTCAAATTCTACAATAGACGGCTAGGAAAAACTTAAAGTAATGACGCCATTGAACACGCTTACCGTGCTCAATGGAAGAGTCGTCAAACACGGGGGCGACCAGGTGGACGGCGGCGGCCGTTCGTCAGCAGCCGGCTCTGTGAGCAAATAGGCACGCTTATGAAGCAATTAAAAACATAACATAACTGTACATACCAGCCAACATGGGAACATACCAGCCAACAATGGATGATCAGTAACCTCTTTAGATGAAAACATGTCACATGTGCCATAAGTGTCGGCCTTCGGATGTCTTGGGAAAATGAAAGGCTGGCTAGTCGCATACCGGAAAACGGAATAAACGTCGAAAACATCGAGCACCTACTTTAACGGCAATGACTATAACATGAAAACAGCAGCGCATCAAACGACCCCTCCCTTTTTTGACAACTTCCCAATTGTCTAATGCACCCACAGCGTAAAATACACATACCTCGATAAGCATACACACAATAGTAAGTCAATGTACTGCTACCAGAGACGGTTAAAACATGGAAAGAAATAGTATCATCAGGCATGCTTACCGTACTCCATAGGCGAGTAGTCGTCGGGGAGACACAGGCTGGGCAGCGGTGGTCGTTCTTCGGCAGCCGGCTCTGCGGGAACATGGACAGGCTTAACAAGCAGGTCAATACAGAACAAAACACCCAAACCAAGAACAACCGATAACTACTTAACAGGAAAACATGACATAATGCGACATCAGTGAGGCAGGCATGCACTCCAACGATAAACACCAAAAAACAAGCACCGTAAACGAGCAAGGATGAATGACGGGCTTAAATGAATGCTTTCAATGTTTAAATCATTGTGTAGCCTGCTAATGAACACACGATATATAAACACACACAGAAAGAGGTGCGCAAAAGCTGTCGTCGGAGAATATGCGGCACGAAACAAGAGACATAGTTGTGATACACTTACCGCAGTCCATGGGCCCGGGAGGCGGGCTGAAGACAGAGACGAGCTGGGGGGAGGGGGGGGGGCGACTGCGGCTCGTAAAGGGTCAACGCCGCCTTCTCCTTCTTCCGGTGCTTCTGCTTCTTCTCCTTGCGTTGCTTCTTTTTCCTCTTCTCCAAGCCCCTGTCGGCCGAGTCAGCACAGTGGCGTCGTCGCTCACAGTCAGCACGCTGCAGTGGCCGCTGCCAGGCTGCCAGCCGCTCCACTATGGCCTGGGAATTGCATGTCATAAGCGAACGGCGACGGTGGTGCGACAGCCTGCACAATCGGCACGCCAGCTGTGGAGAGCACTTACCGGCATGCGCGGCAGCCACGCCTGGAGGCCCAGGTTGTCGCTGCCGATGGTCACATAGGCAATCAACTGAGACAGGTACCGGATGGCAGATTTAATCGTCCCGGCTGTCATGGCGTGAGCTCGTTGCTGCCTCTGGAGTCAGCCGTTGGCCTCCCCCATGGCCAGCCGGGGACCGGCGAGGGCTGTCATAATGTGAGGCATCATGATGTGCTCAGTCCTGCGGCCTTGCAGCAGCGCCGGCAGCAGGAGACGGATCTGCAAACAGAGGCTGCATTACGCACTGCAATTACACGACAGCCGCCCGCCAGCCTCATCTCGCTCTGGCGATGCAGCCATATCCGTACCTGAGCAGCTATACCTTAAACAGCGACTAGTTGCGGCGAAAAACAATCGAATGCTTTTTATGTCAGAATCACTTCGTATCCCTTAATAAACACGCGATATAAGAAACGCATACAGAACAGCGCTTATGAAATATCAAGAGAACGGCAGTCACATAACACGATATAATCATCATACACCTACCGCACTCCAAGAGTCCGTGCGGCGGTTTTGCAGCGAGAGGCGGGCTGGGCAGCGGCGGCAGCGGGTCGTCACTGCAAACGGTCTTTTTTCTTTTTTTCTCCTTCTTTAAGCACACGTTCTTCCCGTCCGGTCCGTCTGTGAACAAATAAGCGTGCCCTTGAAACAGGCAGGTACCAAACACAGCCGCCAGCAGCGCATAACCAATAAGTACTTTACTTGAACACATGACATAACGACACATCAGTCGTACTTGCATGCAAGTTACGTGTACACGTCACAAAACAGGCACCGTACACGAACGTGGTTAAATTACGGCCTTAAACAAATGCCTTCGAAGTTTGACTTTGAGCAGCGAGACGGGCAGGCATAAGGCCGACCACGTCTTCCTGCCACCCCACCGGCAGGGCCGCCTCGGAGGGCGGCACAATGGAGCCGCCGTCGGCCGGCAGGTCGTCCTCGTCGCTGCTGCTGCTGCTGCTGCTGCTGCTGACTGGTGCTCTGCCAACGTCGTCGCCGCCGAGACACGCGTCGACTGGGGGGCTGGAGCCGGTGCTACTTGACTGGCCGGCGGCACGCAGCCGCTGCCGCTAGAGCCATGCCGGCGAGACGGGACGTTTTCCCCGTGACGTCAAAGACGTACACGCGACGAGCGGTGGCCACAGAGTGGGCCATTGCCGTGGCCACGTCCCTGCAACGGACACATTTGCATTCGGCCCCAGACATATGTCAGCTCGTAAAGCGCGGCGTTTCGTTCAAGTATCGCTGACAATGACGAACGGCTGCATGTGGTGGCTACATTGACACATCGGGGCAAACACACCGACCGACACTGGCCATGTTGGCTACCTTGGGGTGACACACCGGGTGAGGCGTGAAGAGTAGAGGCTGGCAGGTGTGCACTTACCCCTGCGCCTCCGGCTCTGCCGCCGCCGTACTCACGACGGTGCCGTAGTGCGCGCCGCTGGCGGTAAGGTCGGGGACGTCCCCGTCCGGCAGGGCCCGCCGCCATACCGCCTTGAACGCCTTGGCGGCGCTACTGCTGGACATCGGGCCGCCGCCCGTGCCGATGAAGAGCTGTGAAAAAAACAAACAGCTTGATCACAGAGGTGAGGGTGCAAAGCGCACCTGGTTGACCCTGACAACACTGTAATCGGTCCGGCGTCTGCTGCCCGGTGTCTGTGCATACCCTGTCGCTGCTGGCGGTGTCCGGCGTCAGCAGCACCGGTCACTCCGCCGAGATGTGGTGCAGCAGCCGGCGCCACAACTTGGGGCTGACGGCCACCTATAAGGTAGCGCTGGCCGCTGTTTTGAACTTGTAGTTTTTGGTGAGCCGGCGCAGCTGGCCATCGAGACGGACGATCTGCAGACACGCATGATGTTCCGTTCAAACCATCATTTCAGCAACAGACACGACAGACAGCAGACAGATCGACGCAAAACAAGTGGCGCGCAACAGTCAGTCAGACATCGGCCAGCCAGCCTGCTCACCGTGGCCTCGGGCACCGAAGAGGCGGCGATGCCAGTGACTTGGCTGGGCCGGCCGGCGAAGAAGAGCATGAGCACTGTCATCAGATCGTCACGCGCTTGGCGGGCCTCGGCTGCTCCCAATCGTGACGTTTCATCGAGCGCTGCCATGCCGTCAGCCGCTCCTGCATGGCCTGTGAATTGCGTGTCATTAGCGAACGGTGACGATGACGTGACAGACTGCACAATCGACACATCACCTGTTGATGGCACTTACCGGCATGCGCGGCAGCCACGCCCGCAGACCAAGATTTTCGCAGTCTATTGCGGAGTAGGTGATAAGCTGGGACGAGCAGCGGATCGAAGATTTTAGCGTGCCGGCTGTCATCTTGCGGGCTCGCTGTTGTGCTTGCAGCCAGCCGTCGGGCCCCTCCATGGCCAGCTGGGGGCCGGAGAGGGCCGCCATGATGTTCGGCATCACCATTTGGTCCGCACGGCGGCCTGGGAGCAGCTCTGGCAGCAGGAGATGGAGCTGCAAACGAGGCTGCATTACGCACCGCCGTGACACGACAGCTGGCCGCCAGCACAACTCTGAGCCCCGCTGCATGAGACGGATAAGGCGGACGAAGCTAACACAAGATGACACGCAAAACACGAGTGACAACGGATGGCAGCAAGCAGATGGGAAGCAGACCGGCATCGGTGGCACTTACCGCCCGCATGTGGCGCTGCACGTTTGTTGCGTTGCAGAAGCCACCCCGGACCCCACGCAGGAACATCGCGAAGCGGTCCGAGATGGCCTCCAGTCCCACCCGCGGCTGTTTAGGCTTCGCCGATACCATGGGGTCGATTCGTTCCACATTACTGCATGCTTGTTGGAACTGTGGACAGACGGTTCACGATGCCACACCGAACACGTCGAAAAGGCGACAACACGCGGTGTTGAGACAGTGAAACGCACGTCCAAACGATGACAGAGACAATGGCGATGGTACGCACCTCATGGCTGCCTGCCGGGAACTGCACCCGCAGGTGTCGTGTTAGGTTGATGACCACCGCCGGGCACTGGTGCTGCCCGTCACTGGCGCCGAACGGGCAGCGCCAGCGTGGCCGGGTGCGCTTGGCCGCTGCTGGAGGGCAGTCGGCCTCGGCGACTCGGAGACGCTTTGCCTCCTCCGGCGCGCGTGCGGCAAGCTGAAACACAAGTCGACAGCTGAAAAGACAAGGCAGACGGAACTGCTGTGGACATGCGCGACGCATCGACGGCAGATACACGCACAAGCGAGTGAAGGCGAACAACAACCGCACACAGCATGCAATCCGTCGCTTACCCGCGGGTGCACCATCCTGATGTGCCGTTTCAGGATGGCGTACGTGGTGCCGTGGCACGGCGGCAGGCGCCACGGGTGCCTGTGGCGCTTCCCAGCGCCGCTGCGTGCAAGCCGGCCCTGCCGCGGCTTGCACGCTGCAACACAGAATGATCAGGTTGCTACGGCCCGGGCAAGCACGCGGGTATGCCAGCTGCGGCAGAAGCACATTTACATCCAGTCTGCCGTCACACACTGTCTGTGTTTACACACAGTCTGCCGTAGAATTGTGCTTTTACACACAATAGTAAGTCAATGTACTGCTACCAGAGATGGTTAAAACATCGAAAGAAATAGTATCATCAGGCATGCTTACCGTACTCCATAGGCGAGTAGTCGTCGGGGAGACACAGGCTGGACAGCGGTGGCCGTTCTTCGGCAGCCGGCTCTGTGGGAACATGGGCAGGCTTCACAAACAAGTCAATACGGAAGCAGTCAAAACAGCCAAAGACAAGCAAGAGCGGCACACAGCATGCAACCGGTCGCCTGCCTGCTGGAGAGCCATTCTAATTTGCTGCGTTAGGTTGGCTAGGTGTTGCCTGGCACGGCGGCAGGCGGCTTGCGGAAGGCAGCCAGCCCCTCCTCCCGGCTCGACGCTCATGATGACCGGGCAGACACCGGTAGTTATACGCGTCAGCATGCGGAGGTAGTTTCACATCCGCTGACAACGCGGGCGGCAGGGCGTCCTACAAGGGCTCCACTAGAGCCGGGTTCTGTCCGCGCAGGAGCAGCAGCAGCCGCGCCTGCTGGTTCGTTCTCCGGATCAGGGCCGGCCCACCCACGCTCATGACAGCGAAGGCGGCCAGTCCCGGTCCGTCCTCAGCCTTACCGCGGCATCGAGCAGCCGGCCCCAGTCCCGGCCTGCGTCGCCTCGGAGGCCGTCGCCCACGCAACCCGCCCGGCGTATCCACCGCCAAACAATCCGGTGTCGCCCCAAAGTCAGGTCCAGCGTCCGGTCCTCACCCACCGTCAAGGCGCGCACCGCGACATGGCTGTTCCTACACAGCGCGCCGCGACATGGCTGTTCCTACACAGCGCGCCGCGGTATGGCTGATGTTAAACAGCGCGCCCCGACATGGCTGTTACTACACAGCGCGCCGCGACATGGCTGTTACTACACAGCGCACCGCGACATGGCTGATCTTAAACAAGCGCGCCCCGACATGGCTGTTCCTACACAGCGCGCCCCCACATGGCTGTTCCTAAATGCGCGCCGCGGTATTGCTGTTCCCAAACAGCGCGCCGCGTTGCTCCACGAAGAGCCTGGCCGGGCGACGGAGCCGGTCCAGGGCTGCGGGCTGGCACCGCACGGGCAACGGCTACGGCTATGATGTGGTGTGCGGCTTGGATGGAGCATCAGCCCCGCTCCGGCCTCACGCCCCGTCTGGGGTGGTCCCGAGACCGTGCCCGCTGGGCCTGATCGCGGATCGCCTCGTCCACGTCCACGACCCTGAAATGAAGTCCTGCGAACTAGCGGTAAGTCAGTCATTGTCTTGCGACCAACTCGGCCACAAGACCAACAAATTAAAGCAGTAGGTCACGCCGCTACACGGACGCCACGGACGCCGGAGACGTAGTAGGATGACTGCCTGAAGTAAATGCATACATTTACTTAATACCTTTATCACCAGCTAATACACATACGCCCCACAAAGCGCATACACAAATAACGGCGCCCAAATCGTCGTAAGATGATGGCCGGCACACGACAAGGCACATAACTATCAGACACACTTACCGTAGTCCATAAGCCCGTGCGGCGGACTGGCGGCGAGCGGCGAGCTGGATGCCGGCGGCGGCGGCGGCGGCGGCTCGTACGCACTCTCATTGTCCAGGTTCTTCTTCTGTTCCAGAGCCCGCAGTTTTTTCTCTCCCCGCCATTTTCTTCTTCTTCTCCTCAGTCGTCTACACAGCCGCCGCTGGTGGCTGTGAAACCGTCTTCTTGCGGATAGCGTCGGCCGCCGACAGCTGGATACGACTTTGGTGGAGGCGCCAAGCCCAGGCCTCTTCGTTTTCTTGCCAGCTTCCCACATTCTTGAGGAGACTTTCGTGAAGTGGCTGGCCCTGGCGTCAATGTTATTTCGATTGATCTTCTCGGCCAGAAATGAAAATAAGGCTTCCGGATGGAGACTGGACAACGGTGGGGTGGGTGTAGATGCGCAGGGGCGGACAACCGCAGAGCTTTAGCCTGCGCCGGCATTCAATAGCCTCAACCGATGCTGCGCCATACCACGTGACCGGGCCATGCCCACGAGTGGCGCGCGGTAGCCTGACTTTAACACACCCCGGCTGACAGGTTGGTTACCCTCGCTGGGGTGGGGGTTAATTTGACCCTCTGAGATCTCAGGAACAAATACAGTTAGATGCACCAAATTCACAGGCTGTGTTAAACTGTACGTGAACTCACTAGGCCAAAATTTGAGGTTTCTAAGTCACAGTCCTCGGGTCAAATAGGGTCGAACAAGGTCAGATTCAAGTTGGTCTCCGAAGCGCCCCAGAACAAGGAGGCCTGGCCTAAGCAAAAGGTCACATGCTCATTTAGGGTCAGTGGCCCAGATTGACCTTTCGAAGGTCATGCTGACTGAAATCATACCAGACTTCTTCGATCTTTACATTTGAATCAGCGACAAATATTACGCTAGCAGTTTGCTAAAAAATAACAAAATACTGACCTGAGTCATTTTAGATCAGTGGCCCATGCTGACCATTAGGCACATCATGGAAGATTTGTAGTGCGGTTCGTGTTATCAAAAATTCGAAATGAGCACCAAAAACTACCCGGTACAGCAAGCCCTAGAAAAGGAAAGCAGGCTGGTTTGACATTGGTCTGACCATACCTGATCACAGATAAATGGAATTTCTTCATTCAATTGTCGTGTTGCCTAAGAAAGCATCTCCAGCATGTATAGCTTTGTCTAACACTCCGTTGTTGCATCAATTTGGAAGATCCCCTACAAACTGACTTCGCTGAATCCATCACGTGCCATCCATCGGCCGGTGCGGCCCACCCCGGCCGCAGTCGGTCACCAGGCCGTCGGCCGTGCACCGCTCGGCTCCCCCCAGCCGCCGCCCGGCTCCGGTGCCGCCCCTCACAGAGCGTCAGTCACGTGCTGACAGCGGCATCTTGGCAGCGATCTTCCTCTTCTTGAACAAAATGGTGTAAGACATCGAGACAAGAAACATGAAACACTACGTTTCGATAGTGGTCTAGTGCAACTTCTATCAACCACAAGGCGACCTGCTAGAACACTGCCAGTGTAATACAGTGTTCAACATTTGTACGAGTTTGAGGTAGCACGTTTGAAAGCCGCGAAGTGCAATTCGCAGCCGGGCCATTTTTTTCACACCTTGTTTCTGAGCTCGACGCTCATGAACTTGTACTATTTCGTGCAGGATATTTCAAGGTCACACCGACACGCCTAACGTCACGGAGACAGCGTGGATTTGGCTCTTTCCTTGCTCACGATGAAATAGCATGACCACCGAGTTATTCGTGTCCGCCGCAGGTCGGCACAGTTCGTGGCATCGACGTACGACTGGCTTGCAACTCGGCTGATGCGTTGAGCCGATGCTTCCAAAAGGATTTGGTTATTTGGTTACTAGGACTTGAGCTTTTTCGGCCGATAACGACCATTTCAGGGCTATGGAATGAAGGATAATGGAAAACGGCGGAGCAGAGCTAAACGCTGCTGGGGACCCAAACACTAAGCCTCATCCCACACAGCGACCCCTTTGCGGGGGATGTGCCCGGCGTGCGGACGGGGATGCCTTTCGGTCCAGTGATGCATGCAACAGGGCCAGACGAGTAGGGCTTCGCGTGGATGCAGGACAAATAAAGACAGAGGCGGGTCGTGTACGTATGTGATGGAACTTATGTGAAATTTACGGATATCGAATAAGCATCACACTTCATGCTACATGGTGCAGGAACTTTGGCTGCGATTCTAGATATGGCGAAAATACGGCTGGGAATCCATTAACTTGAGAATAATGCAATAACCAAAACGTAGATGCCACCAAAAATATAACATCGCGGCCCATTATACAAACACACCACAACACGGTAAAAAACACAATATCCGGGTTCCGCAAACTCGCGCCATTTCGTAAGACACATTTGGCAGGCATGACTAC